TTCCGATTGGCTTAATACTCTCTATGCGTATGAAAAACAAAATATTTAAAATATCTATAAAAATTTATTTTTGCTTAGATATTTAAATACTCATTATGTTAAAAAACGACAAGCAAATGACATGGATACTAATTATCAACCATTTGAATGTAATAATGATACTATCGATCCACCACTAGTCGAAATCGGAGAGATGGCTCTCGATTGTTGGACAAAAATAATCATAGAACCACTCAAAGATCGACTAGTAAAATTATTACTTGAACAAATTCATCTGTCTGTAGTTATATTTTTGTATTTTGAATGTTTTTGTTTCATATAATTCTTGTTATTCTAGTGATCGTATATGTGAATGTGTAAATCAAACAACTATAAAAGGTGTTATTATGTCATTTGTCGATGTATGTCAACATCGAAAACTCAACATATTAGAAGTAAATATATATACATATCAATATTAATTAGAAAATTGTTCTTTTCATCTTAGCTCTATGAAAAATCATTTGAAAGTCCATTACTTCAAGCAACTGGAGAATATTATCGAGAAGAAGGCAATCGTTGTTTAGCTAAACTTGATTGTATTCAATATATGAGAAAAGTAAAAGATTTCAAAAAAATAAAGTTATTTATTTACATTTATTTATTCAAAATATAGATTTTATTATTAATTGATGATGAAGAATTTCGTAGTCGTAAATTTCTTAATCCAACATCATATTCAAAAGTATATAATGAATGTCTTCAACGTCTTGTTTGTGATCATTTTGATACATTTAAAAGTGAATGTAATGAATTAATTATTAAAGAAGATTTAGATGGTATTGAATAAAAGAAAATTTTATAACAAATGAAATTATTATTTTTTGTTTTTGTCTTAGCTCTTCGTAATATGTATAAATTACTGAAACCAACACATATTGGTATAAATTATATGGTTGAAAAATTACAAGATAATATAGCACGTATTGGTCATGAAAAAGTTCAATCACTTAAAGGAGAAAATGTTTGTTAATAGAAAATCTTCTTTTTTTTAAAAAACAAAAAAATTTATCTATTTAGTTATCAACATTATTTGTTGAAACATTACTTGAATTACATACAAAATATATGAATGTGATTAAAGAAACATATGCTAATGACCCAGAATTTGTTTCATCACTTGATAAAGCCTGTGCTACAATTGTGAATATGAAATATGGAAATCGTTTATCAGCTAAAGCACCTGAATTAGTAAGTTTCATTTTTTTTTGAATGTAGAAAAAATGAATTATTATTTCTTTTCATTTAGCTTGCCCATTATTGTGATAGTTTATTACGTAAATCATCTAAAGCAGCTACTGATAGTGAAATTGAAGAAAAACTACTTAGTTCAATAACGATATTTAAATATCTTGATGATAAAGATTATTTTCAACGTGTAAGATTTAATCGAAATAGTGAAAAATAAACAAATTTCATATATTTTTTAGTTTTATCAAAAAATGCTTGCACGTCGACTTATTAATCAACAATCAATATCAATTGATGCTGAAGAATTTATGGTTACAAAACTTAAGGTAATTATAAAAAAGTTGTAGATGTAGCTCTTAACTCCTATTCGTTGGCATCTAGTGGAACTGCAGTAGTTTTTAAACAGTGCACCTATTGAGAACGAATTTAGCAAAAACACCAGATCCGAAAATATATATCTTAATATAAGTTCATATTTAAATCTATTAAAAGAATAAAGTCATCTGAACATTGAAGAATTACTTGATGAAAATTTTAACATCATTTAAGAGCACTCGAATTCATCTGAAATATTAAAAGTGCTCACATTATATCCTATGTTTAAAAAGAAAATCTTAGACAACCCTCAAGATATTTGATATTGTATGAATCGACTGGATAGTTCTCGACTCGTTGAATATTTATGTATATGAAATTTTGTTTTTTTATTAAAGCAAATATGTGGTTATGAATTTACGGGAAAATTAGCTCGTATGTTTCAAGATATTAAAGTTAGTGATGATTTAAATATAAAATTCTTGGAATATGTCAGATCTGAATTATCATCATCATCATCTTCACAAAATCAAACAATGACGAATTTACTTGGTCTTGATTTTAATATCTATGTTTTACAAGTAAATATAAATTCATTCTTTTATCAATATAATAGAAATCTTTTTTTCTTCTTCTATTAATTAATTAAGCAAAATTCATGGCCTGTTGCACAAACAATAACAAATACATTCATCCTTCCTCATCTTCTGGAAAAGCCACTTCATATGGTATAAAATAATGAATAGATCGATGTTTTTTTTTATATAAAAATATTTCTTTTAGTTTGAAGCATTTTATGGTAAAAAATATAGTGGCCGAAAATTATGTTGGATGTATAATTTATCAAATGGTAAATGTAAATTTATTTATCTAATTTTAATAAATATTTTGTAATATTTAGCTGAAATTCGTATGACTCATTTGGATCGTTCATATTTTGTTACAATGGGTACATATCAAATGGCTGTATTATTACAATTTAATGATCATCAACAATTAACATTAACTGAAATTGAAGAAGCCATTAAAATCAATATAAAAGAACTAGAAAAACAAGTACTTTCATTGATCGATGCAAAATTTCTAATAGGAAATACAGTACGTCCGTCATTCTTTTATAGAAATATTTTTATAAATATCTTTTTATTAGAGTGAATTAACCATGAATTCAGTTATTTCAATTAATTTCGATTATAAAAGTAAACGTACAAAATTTAAAATTCCTTTAATATCTCAAAAAGAAGCTAATCATGTATGTTTATGAATTAAAACTAATAATTTTTATTTTATTTAATTTATATATATAATAGGATTCTGAATCATCACAAAAAGCAATTGAAGAAGATCGTAAATTCTATCTTCAAGCTGTTATTGTACGAATAATGAAAGCACGTAAAGTTTTGAAACATAATTCATTAATTGAAGAAGTTATAACACAATCTAAACAACGATTTTTACCATCAATTCATATTATTAAAAAATGTATTGAAATACTTATTGATAAACAATATCTTGAACGAAGAACAAATGATGAATATAGTTATATTGCATAAAATTAAAGCAAACAAAAAAAAATAAAAATAAAAACTCATTTTTTCTTTATTTGATTTTCTTTTCTCTTTGTCCCATTTATATTTGATCAAATCGAATAGTATTCACATATATATCTATACGATTTTTTGTTCAAAACTAATTTATTATTCTTAAGTTCTTCTGTTTTTTTTGTGTATGCACACATATATATCCATGAGAACAAAATTGAAATGTATGATGATTTGAAATTATTTCTAATTGATAGATGTGCAATGGAATGGAAATTTGTTGAAAACAAAAAGCAAATTATATAACTATCGCTTCAAAAAAGAACAGACCAGTGTTACGAACTGACTAATAATTATTCATTTGTCTTTCTTCATAGATGCATGTGTGAGTGAAAGAGAGGAGAGTTCGGATTATTTTTCTACTTTCCGTGTTCTGTCTTTTCCTTTTTTTCTTCTATTTCTTTTGCCCTTGTCTTTCGCTCTTTTTTTGACGAAATAAACTTATAAACGAAAATAACTTGTCCATTGAGATACTTTTATCATCAAATCACTAGAACTAAAACATACTAGAAGAGTAATATTTGTCATGTATCAATGTTTTTACCAAAATCTCTCACGGTATTCGGATCAATAGGAATGAGTGATAGATCAACCAGGAACATAGTTCGATGTAATATGAACTGTTTTTACAGGATATCTGCGAATCTTTTCTGGAAATAACTTACTATCTATTCTAATAACCTTAACTGTTGGTCTGTTTCATGTTCTTCAAAGCTTGTTAAATAGCTTTCTTTATATAGTTATTATTGTATATAGAATATGATATCATGTAAACTATATTAGATTGATTGGCCTTTCAAACTTTTATTATGTAATTTCCCAGTATCTTAGTTATTGCTAAGTTTTAAATAAATTCAAATTCTTTATCTATCTATGGATAAGATGCGCAGATTTTTTTATAAAGAAGGAACAAATAACTTTCGGTCTAATGAAAGTCTGGTAAAAATAGGTTTTCTATAAATAGATGTTACAAATGAGTCTGACTCAAAAGTGTTTCATGTTCTAGCTATTAAGATGCAAAAATAATCGGAAAGAGTTGTCATTTTCATTTCTACCATAAACTGAATATCTATATTAAATCTATTTAAAACATCAAATAACTTGTTAATGTCATCATCGTCTTTAATGAGTAGAAAACTATCATTCAGAGAAGATGAGCATGTGGGTGTCAGCACATTTTTTTATCTCTCATCTTTATTCACATTCATTTTAGAATTATTCTGAAAGATTGAACTTTCATTGTATAGTTTAGAATACCGAGAAAGTACTTTTTTTATAAGAAGCTGAGTTTATATCTAATATTTCTGAATAGTTCATATAGAGTAACTTGCATTGATATCCATCAAATTCTGTACTTATTATATTATACTTTTAAACAATAATTGTTTCAGTTTTTATTTCATTGGGAATAATTCCAAATAATCAATTAATTATTAACAGTAGTACTCTTTTCAAAAAATAAAACTGATTTTATTTTTAAAGTTTCACTGGATCATGTTTTAAAACACGATAATTATACAATCATCGATATATGAAAGAGTTTCGTTTAATATGAAAATTATTGAAACTGGTGGTTTCCGATGAAAGATATCAAATAAATATCTATCATCTGTTCTGTTATATCACTTAATCTTTATTGTTTTATTACAATATTTCCTCTATTGTCGCTCAATGGTACTGTGTATTATGATTGGTGGAAATTGAACAAATCATTTTTGTTAAAAGTAAAAACACCACCCTATGATACGATCAATACTAGTTTTATTTCATCATCATCATCATAATCACTATTAGTTGTTTATTATTTTTTCAAAAATTGAATTTTTATAAATTTTTATTTTTTTCATATTTTAGATGACAGATAATATACAACAAGAAATTGATCTTCATCATGATGTTAAGCAATGGCAACATTGTTCATTATTTAATTTAGATTTATTTACTGATGAACATCATAATATAAATTTAACTAAAGATATTATTGATAATTCAAATATCGATGGATATTGTTGTTCATTATCAACACCAAATGTCGATGATACATTAGGAAAAAAACATTTAAATCATTCATGTTCATTTGCTGTTTTACAAAAAAATTATACAACACATCTTGAGCATGTTGCAGAAAAATTATTATCTAATGATAATACGACATTAAATAATTGTTGTTATTGTTCTATACATGAAACAAATGATACAAAAGCACAATCACTTAATAGAAAAATTCTTCTTGGTTCAACAGCTATTCTTGATAATTTTCTTCGAAATAATCTTAAAACATCTTTACTGACAAATTCAACTAATCCTCCATCATCATCATTAGCTGCAACAGCAGCAGCAACAGTAACAACAAATATAAATCCAACATCAAAAATAACTATGGGTGGAAGTAATCAAAGACGATGGCATTCTGAACGAGGTAATCGTCATCCAAATGTTCGTGCTAATTTACCATTAACTACAGCACAACGACAAGTACTTGAACGTTATAAAAATTATCCATTAATTAAAACATCAACAAATATTTCATCAACACGTCGACTGCATCATCATCATCATCCACCAATAACAGGAAAAGTTATTGAAAATACAGGCACAGCACTCTCTGCTCTTACTGAACAATCATTAAATACAACTAATATTAATCTTCGTAAAAATAGTGCTCCATTAAATCATACACATCCTCGTCCACTTTCATCAACTTCATCATCAGGATCAGGTGTATCACATCATAGTGCATTGAATAGACAGTGCTTCTTAGCTGATACGATTATACATAATAAATCAAATGAAAATTATTCAGAAGAAGAAGAAGACGAAGAAGAAGATAATGATGATGATGATAATGATAATAAATCCATATCATCTGAAATTGATGAAACAAGTGATGAAGAAAGTACTGAATTAAATCAAATTTCAACTTTACCTAATTTATTAAATTCACATTTAACTTTATCAGAAACATTATCTGAATGTATTATTTGTTGCGAAATGAAACGTCTACAAAAACGTTCATGTTGTGATTTTTATGCTTGTTCAACATGTTTAAATATGTATGTTGAACAACAAATTAAACAAGGCATTATTCGTATGCAATGTCCAAATCAACAATGTCATATGTATATGCATCGAGATGAAATACATAAACGTTGTATATCACCAGAAGTACGACTTAAATTTACACGTTATCTAGTTGATAATAATCGTTCAATAAATATTAAAACTTGTCCAAGATGTTCGAATATTCATGAAATAGGTATTTAATTTCATAATTTGAATGAATAAAGTAATTGTTTTGATTAAAAATAAATCGATATTTAGATCTTGAACTTTGTCGATCAATGCGACGAGCACCGACAAAAGTTCAATGTGTAGAATGTAATTTAATTTGGTGCTTTCAATGTCATTCACCATGGCATGATGGTATACAATGTAAAGAATTTCGTCGTGGTGATCGAATGTTAAAAAAATGGGCAAGAGAAGTTCATTATGGACAACATAATGCACAACAATGTCCTTCTTGCAAAGTAAAAAAAATCTTTCAATTCTTTCATTTGATCTTTTTTTTGACTTTTTCTCAAAGGTATATATTCAACGAACGAAAGGATGTGATCATATAGTTTGTGTTCGTTGTAAAACAGAATTTTGTTATAAATGTGGTGATCGTTTTCGAGATATTAAATTTATTGGTTCGTATTTTGTTTTTTTATAAATTTTAAATAATCGAAATTTGCTTTGTTTTTGTTTAGGTGATCATTATAGTGAATTAAGTGTACTTGGTTGCAAATATCGTTTTTATCCTGATAATCCATTAAAACGTCGACTTATACGTGGTTCAATTTTAGGTGGAAAAATTCTAGCCGCACCCATTCTTCTATGTTTAGCAGTTGTAGCTGGTGCAGTTTGTGCTGGTATTGGACTTCCAGCTTATTGTTGTTTTATGCTTGTTCGACAAATAAAAGTAAAAAAGATTTTTATTTTCTTCATTTTGATTTGAATTTTTTAAATAGACAAGACGACGAAGATGTCGTCATGCAAAATTAAAAGAACCTGTTTTAATGAGTTGTAAGTTAAACAAAAAAATAATTTCAATAGATAATAAGTATTTTGATTAATAGATAAAACATTGAATGATATGGTACCACAATTAATTCCACGTGAACCAATAAATATGAATGGTGTTAAACCAGGATTTAATTCAATTCGTACAAATATTCAAAATACTATTGATGTTGAAATTGATCCAACTAATGATGCTCCAATTGCTGTTTTCGATGGTAAAATTATAATTTAGAAAAAAAAACCTAAGAAATTATATTATTCATTCTAGAATGTGATATACAAATTCTACCAAATCAAAAAGGTACATATATATAATTCGAATTCTATTAAAATATTTTGCAATTTTCTAGATGAATCGATTTCATCATCACCTACTTTTCCACGATTAATCCCTTACTCAACATTACGACGATCATTAACTAGACAAAAAGAATAAAAAAAAATTTTCTCGTCCATTTCTTTTTAGCAAAATATTTTTATTGTAACAGATAGTTTGTATATACATACATATATATATATAACTTCTAATAATTTAGTTTTAATCCTAGTCACCTGTCGTAGTTTTTATTTTATGCAATATGTTTGTTTTTCTTTTTTTTCTTAAAATTACAGTATGTTCAGCTTTTGCTGTTGTCTCATTTTAATATATCTATATAAATATAAATATATATATATATAAATTATTCTTTCTTTTGTTTTTTTTTTGGCTTTTATATATACATACATAAAAACATAGATGATTTTTAAACAATTGTGGAAAAATAAAAATTTATTTATTTCACGTTATTCATCAACATTATCAACTATATTTGCATTAGCAACTGGTTATCAAGTACGTAGTGGTGTAGCTATTATTCGTGTATCAGGTTCATTAGCAACACAATCATTATTAACATTAACAAAAGAAACAAAATTAGAAAAATTTCAACCAAAAAAATTGTATTTAACAAAAATTTATGATAATAAAACAAATGATTTAATTGATCAATGTATGACTGTATGGTTTAAAGGTAAAATAATTGATTTATAAATGAAAATAAATATATAAATTGCATATTCTTAGGACCAAAAAGTTTTACAGGAGAAGATGTTGTTGAATTGTAAATATTACAAAAAAACGAAAATGATTGTATTTTTTTTTAATATTAAATTTAGTCATATTCATGGATCGAAAGCAATCGCGAGTGTAATGTTTTCAATTCTTAGTTCATTTCCAAATTATCGTTTAGCTGAAGCAGGTGAATTTAGTAAAAGGTAGGAAATTATTTTCATAAAAATAATTTTGAAAATCAATTAGGTAGTTTAAGATATATTTAGAGCTTATTTAAATGGTCGTTTGGATTTAACGGAAGCCGAAGGCTTAATTGATTTAATAAATGCTCAAACAGAACAACAACGTAAACAATCATTATATCAAATGCAAGGTTCATTAAAAGATCTTTATGAACGATGGAGAATTGATTTAGTTAAAGTATGAAGAAAAAAAAAATTCGAAAGATTTAATTCAATTGGTTATTTTAAGTCTTTAGCACATTCAGAAGCTTATATTGATTTTCATGAAGATCAACATATTGAAAATGATATATTAACAGGAGGTATAGAATAATTTCAAAGATTATTTTCTAACTAATAAGATTTTTATTTATAGTTATTCAGAAAGTTCAAATAACTTATGATAATATATCCTTGCATTTACAAGATCATCGTCGTGGAGAAATTTTACGTGATGGTTGTCGAATTGCTATTTTAGGTGCACCGAATGCTGGAAAAGTAAAATAAATTTTTGAATAAAAGAAGAAAAAATAGTTTTTCGTAAAATTATTTTAGAGTTCGTTATTAAATATTTTAAGTAAGTAATTTTTTTTATTTTTTGAAGAAGTACATATCTAATTTGAAATATTTTAGCACAAAAACCTACAGCTATTGTTTCATCAATTGCGGGTACAACTCGAGATGTTATTGAATCAACAATTGATTTAGGAGGATATCCAGTAATTATATGTGATACAGCAGGATTACGAATAACGAATGATCCAATTGAAAGCGAAGGAGTTTCAAGAGCTTTTGATAGGTTTATATTTATTTTAAAATAATTTTCATTTTTTTAATATGAAATTGTTTCTTTTTCTTATATTAAGAGCAAATCTATGTGATCTTTTGATTGTTGTTATTGATGCTAGTACATTAAATATGAATGAAAATTTAAATGAACAAATTGATCAACATTTATCAAATTTATTTACAATAAAATCATCTTCATTGAATTCTTTAACGAAATTAATTATACTTAATAAAATTGATTTAGTTAAAGAAAAGAATCAAATGAAATTTTCTGATAATATTATACCTATTTCATGTATATCTAATATTAATATACAAGAATTTCTTTCGAAATTAACTCAAACAATTGCTGACAAGTAAAATTATTTTTGATATTAATTTTAAACTAAGATTTTATTATTTTTAGATGTACTGAACCATCATTTACAACACCATATTTGACAAATGAACGTCATCGAATATATTTAACACAAACAGTTGAAGATTTAAAAATGTTTTTATTATTAATAAATAATAATCGTGATCTTGTTCTTGCTGTTGAACATCTTCGTCTTGCTATTCGATCACTTGGAACAATAACTGGTGTTGTTTATACAGAAGAATTACTTGATGTTATATTTCGTGATTTTTGTATTGGAAAATAAAATAAAAAAAAAGACAACACGATTTTTTTGTTAGAATGACATATATTATTAAAATAAAATCTTTTGTTTCATTTCATTTTATAGAATAATAATAAACAATCATGTCGATTATGTCTCATTTATTATCAATTAGAACATCGACTTTTATCACAAAAAATATTTTTCGATTAACACAAAATCGTTTATTATCATCAACATTACCATCATCTAGTAAAACAGAAACACCAACTAATATTCTACCAAATCAAATACCATCATCTGAAAAGAAGAAAACAAAATATAATATTTCATGGAAAAGTAAGTCTATAAAACCTACGTGTATTGTTGAAATGATATATTTTGTTTTGCCTTTCAGCTGTATCTGTAACTATCTTCGGTGCTGCATCATTAATTGGTTTCATTTATTATCTTGATCAAAATAAAGCAAAAAAACGTAAAGTACTTCAACGTGCAGCAGTAGGTAAAATGGCTATTGGTGGTCCATTTTCGTTGATAACACATGAAAAAAAA